CACACAGAGTCTCAGGGGACTTTACCCTTGTATTTGTGGGGTCTTTAGTGGAAGTCAGTGGGACATGGGGAGAGAATTCCACCTAGCTAGGTTCTCCGTGACAACACTAATCCCATACAGCATGAGACAGGATGGATGTCTCAGATCTAAATCCTGGCATTTGGGGTAGGGTTGATAGAGAATTTGGATGATGGTAGAGAGCACTAAGCTATCATTACCCAAAAGAGAGTATGGCATAAGGAATTCAGCATGGCTTTGAGCAAATCTCAGCTCACATTCCTAGCTGTGTGACTTTGGGCAAGTTACTTAACCTCTCTGGACCTTGGTTTATTTCTCTGCAAATGCAGGACATGGAATATCTACCTAACAGGATATGTATGCAGATTTATTGAGATTAATGTATGCCAAAGTGCCTGGCATAGAGTAGCTACTCAGAAATCTGTCCGATTCAGGAGAACTGAGGTGGCACAACCTTGAGGGAGTGCGTGTGTGTGTGTGGGGGGGGGTATGCACAGAAGGGAGCACACTCTGGCCTGAGCGCCAGTGGTGTATCCTGCTGCTGGAGGATCAGGAGTTCACCCGCAGGGCAGCTGTCAGCAGCTCAGTGGATGGATGAGTGAAAGTGTAAGAGGTGGGAGGCGAAGGTGCTGGGGAGGGAGCCATCTTCAAATAAAAATGAAAGGAGCATGGCAGATGAAATAACAGGGCCATTTAATATAAGCCCCGCCCCAGGCATCTCTGCCCTGGGACCCAGCCTTCCTGCCCACCTCCCCCAGTCCTGTGCCCCTGTCCCCTTTCCGGAAGTTTCCTTCAGCACGGAGGCCCATTCGTGTCCCTGATCCTTTGGGAAGGCCTGAAAGCAGGAGTCCCTCCACCTCTAAGGCCCCGGACCCCTGCCTCCTCCCAGACTCCCTCATTTCCCACTGAAGATTGGGCCCAAGGCAACCTGCTCCCAGTGTGTTGTCTGGGCAGATTAGTGCCCCAAAGCTGGCAGGCCTATTAGGAGGTCTTTGTGAGGGAGGGGGCTGGGGAGGAGAAGGGGATGTTCCATTCTCTGAGCAACTGGATTACTCAGTCAGGAGATCAGGGAAGAACTCGCTGCTTAAACTGCATCTTCTTCACAGCCCAGCCTGAGCCCTGGCTCTCAGCCTCCTGTGTGCTCAGCAGGGATGTCCAGGAGCCCAGCCTTGCCTGCTTTTGAGGTGTGTGTGTGTGTGTGTGTGTGTGTGAGATCTGAGTCAGCGTTGAGGGCAAATCTAAACCTCCTTCCTCCCCAGTGGAAAAGCTGTGACACCAAAGAGGGACTCAAAAAAATCAGCTTGCCACCACCTCCACTAACCCTCCCCTTCCCCAAAGACCTCGGGCTGAAGATGGATCTAGAAGGTGGTGTTTAGAGAGCTGAAGTGACTTACTCGGAGTCACACACCAAGTAACGGGGCAACCAAGCTGGTTTCCTGACGGTGGCTGGATGTACAGGAGCACGCTATCCTCGGAGTGAGCCCCGTCTATGCCCGGGTCTGGAAGGAGCCCAAGACTCTGCTTACTATTCTCCCTTCGTAGAAGGGGGTTTGCTGCTGAACTTTGTTCAGCCCCAGTATGAGCTTGAGAGGGAAGGAAGCTCTGCTCCCATTCCCAGTCTCTCAGGCTACAAGGGACCAGACCGTAACATATGGGGACGTGGAAAGGAGATTAGGTTTAAAGACTTTAAAGCCTTAAGATCTGGTCCCAGCCTCACCACTTCACTTGCTGGGTGGCCTTTGGCAAACCACCTCCCCTCTCTGAGCTCAGTTTGCCTTATCTGCGAAACGAAGATAACATCTCTCCCAGAATTGTTTTGAAAATACACAAAGAGCATCAAGCATAGCATCTTATATACTAGGTGCTCAAAATCAGGGTGGAGGCAGACTGGGAGGAGATATTATTTCCTTTACCCAGAGCTGCGCCCATTCCCCAGAACAGGAGTCTTCACTGCACATTCAAACAACCGGTTCTTCCCACTGGGAGGGCAAATCCATCATGTTCAGAGACTGTTGGCCTCCCCCACATGGTGTAAGGTTATTGGGGGGTCATGACCCCACACCTTGTGCCCACTTTCTAGAAGGAGGCCCAAAGTCCCCCACCCTGGCCCCGTGTGGCCCCTAGAGGTCTTTAGCTGACAAAGTGGTCATCTGTGACCTTCTTAATGGCCTATGGTCCTTTCAGCCAGAAAATTCTATGATCCTGTGACCCCTTAAAACCCTGCCCTGGTAATGGTTTTATGATCTTCCAGAGGAATCCTCTCTTTGCCCTCCTTAACCCCCAGCCCCTTTCAGTAGGTCCTAGTCAAAATAAACACAGTTTACGACCAGAGAAGGATTCAAGGTCCACATGGCAGACAAATGCAGAGCCCTTTGAAGGGGCCTGGGGAATCCATCACATCCTGGGGTGTGATGCTCCCCAGGCCCAAGGGGAGGTGGGCCCAGGGAAGAGGCGCAGGCCTGGGAAGCTGAGCTCTGGATCTCGATCTGGAATCTGAGGATCCTGTGCTGTGTCTGGGGCTCCCTCCCCAGCACTGAGCCTGCCCTCCCTGCAAAGGAAGTGAGGGGAGAGGAGGAGGGGACTGGGCACAGCCCAGTGATCGGGAAACTTTTCTATCATGTGTGCAGACTGCCTTGGGGGCCAGGAGCTGACTTGGCACGTCATCAGGGGAGAAGGGGGCAAAATGAAAGCGTGAGGGGGAAAATAAAGAGGCATATGGAGAAATAGTAAGCCTGCATGGGTGAAAGAATCAGAGCTGTAACCACGGAGGTCTCGGGCCTCATCACTACCTCCAGTGCCCCCCTGGATGGTGGTGTATTGTAGCCACCTTGGGACAACTTTCCTAAAGGAAACTAGCCCAACTGCTTTCAGGAGAAAATCAGGCAGCAGAGCTAAAGAGAGAATGGGAAAGAGAGAGAACCGGACTTTGTTCTGAGTTGCTCCAAGAGGCCCTGAGCATCACTGCTAGTGAGTGAGATCACTGAGGGAGAAGTGGAGAGCCTCCGTCCAGAATGAATACCTCCCCCTCTGTCCTTCCCCGGGCGAAAGGCAGGACCCCTCCCTCCACACTCTCTTCAGCACCCTCCATGGGAGAACGGGGCCCACAGGCCGCAGCCCACATGGTCTCAGCTTTGCTTCCTACTTGCCACGTGGATGAGTTGCTCACCTGGGCAGAGCCTCCCCTGGCAGGTGCAGCTACCAGCAGATTTGTTTTCAAGGAGGACTGGCCCTGCCTGGGGAATGGCTGTTGGAGAATATTAAGACAGAATTCCCAGAGGCCTGAGTCTGAGAGCAGCTTTCTAGGACATGCAGCGCAAGGCTTTTGTCAGCTACCACACCAGCCTCCAGAACTGGGGCACTGGCCTAGGGGATGATGTCCCTGCCTCAGAGCTGGGGGAGGGAGAAAACGTCCCCCCGGGGCCTGGGCCTTATCACTCAGCCTTCTAAAAATGCTGTGCTCCCCAGCAGGTTGGGTGAGGAGCTGGACAGGGCATATGTGCAGGTTGCAAGGAACCTATCACATTTATCAGGTACCAGCTTACGGCATTTGCATATGTGGCATTGTAATTAACATTTGGTGAGTGACAGTCAGGGAGCTGCAAGCCCAGAACAAAGATGGAAGGAAAGAGAGATAGCTGGAAATGCAGGCATGAGTTTTTCCAGGATAAATATAGTTTGTTCAGAATTTATCCTCTTCCTAAACCAGGAATAATTATAATGACTTTTCATATGAATTTAGAACTTTCAGCAGAGGACCATGGTGCCCAGCACAGTGCTTTGTATTTAAAAAGTCCTCCGTGACATAGAATTTTAGCACCAGAAGGGTTTTGGAGAGCATCTAGGCCAGCAGGTCTCAATGCTGGCTGAATATGTATAGAATTCCCTGGGGTGCTTTAAAAAATAATAAAGTGCTGGGCTCCCACCTCCGGAGATTCTGGTCTAATTGGTCTGGGGTGGAGCCCAAGTTATCTGTGTTTTTTAAAAACTCCCCAGATGATTCTATTGGGCGGCCAGGGTTGAGAAGCACTAGTCTGGGCCAGTACTTCATTTTCCAGAAGTAGAAACTGAAATCAAGAAAACAGGTTACCTAGACAGCAGGTAACTGGTAAAAGAGTGCGGGGCCAGAGAAGGTATCCGGACTCATTTGTTAAATGAACAAACAAAAGATTGATCCTCTTTTGGAGGCGTCTTTATCTGCAGAGACCCCACCCCCTCCTCCCGCCCCCATATTTTCACATTGTTTTCCTCTGGGCCTCACAGAGGGGGAACACCCAGTCCCGAGATCGTTTGACAGGTCTGGGTCCTCCCAGGGCCGCTGTTGCATGTTGGTCTGCGGGTGTCTGTGGGTGCCCCAGAACAGGGGTACAGGAGTTGTGCGTGCAAATGTGCACGTGCACAGAGATGCACATTGACGTAGGAACCTGTGCGGAGGACCCTCCTGCGCAGGAGCACTTGTCCTTCCAGGCGCATGCGCACTTGCCGTGAGGGCACTTGCACGTGTGCCTATAAAGAGCCGCCCGTGGGACGGTCTGCATGTTCACATCAGCACCGTCTACGGGGCAGTGTGAGTGTGCAAGAAAATGGGTACAAATGTCTCGGAGATCTACGATGCCGATCTGTGTGTCTGTAATTATGTACAGGGGCATAAAGCAGGATCTACCTTCACGAATCGGCAGTTACATTTACCTGTGGAGACCTATGTGTGACAATACACGCAGCGCCGGCTGGTCCAGTGAACGCGTGTGACTGGCAGTCTGCGGTCGCAGTGGGCGAGTGTATGTGGAGAGAGAAAAGGTTTCCGTTGTTTCCATTCTGTTTCTCCTAAGTAATCATTGGGAAATGCATGTGTTGGAAAACCGCATCGTTCGTGGTTAAATATATCTCAGCCCACACAGATGAAACATGATTATGCTAGCTGAGAGGCTACACATTAACATTGTTTATCATTGATAGAATTAAATAACCCATGCACGGCCCTGGTAGCATTTCTTACAATTTTATTTAACACTGTTTTGGCCAAGCAGCATTTGGCAAATGCCACAGATACACTGTAGATTACCGTGACAAATGCATATTTTGTAAGTTATAATATACAACACATGAGAAGTATTAACAGAGAGGTGTTAAAAATTCCAACTGTCCTCATCTTCCTTTAGGTTCTACTCCTTCCCCTTCCTTCCCCCACCTGATGAAAACCTATCCCTTCACACTTCCCTAGGAGGTCCCTGCATTTGTATTTGAGAGATAAAATGGAGGGTGAGGATTTGGGGTGGGGAGGAGATAACACTCTAAGACCCGGTCTCTGGAATGTTTCTGCTCCTCCCCAGTCTGTCAGAGGCAGGCCCGAGCCCCAGCACGTGTTAAAGCAAGAAGACCAAAGGAAGCATTTTTATAGGTTCTGCAGACCCTCAGGTTGACTGATGAAGTTACTCATTCAGAATGAGTAAAAAGAGCAATGAACTTATCAAATTAGTAGTAAATCCTTCATTAAAAGATTCATAGAAGTGGCTTCTTGCATCTCTTTTTTAAGGGGAAACTATATCTTTTCTTGAGCCCAAATGAGAACAACCTGGCCCAGAGTAATCCTTTCAAAATGTGTGCTGGCCGGTGCCTACAATGTGGGCCAAATTGTGAATGGCCGGAGAGAGCCAGAAATCTCAGCAGCTGAGGAGGCTGGGGTCTTCACCTCTACAAGTCCAGACTGGAACATGAATAAGGAAAGGGTAGAACCACAAAGGAGGGCCACACAAGCTCAAAATGCTCCCTTGCCGGCCACCAGGCAGGCAAAGAGGTTGCGTTTACTTCCCAAAGATTATGAATACCTGGCATTTGTAGGTCTCTTCAAAACTTGGAAAAGACTTCTTAATCTCCCAGAAACCAGGGCTGAAATCCCACATGGAGCCTTAAAGCCCTGCTTGGATCTGTTTTTACCACCCCTGGGCTTCCTTTGGGCATGGAAGTACCATGATTGAGACAAGAAACTCCCTATACCTGCCTTCCTGCATTCTAAGTTTCACCAGCTTCTCTCCTACTGAAATGTAAAGACGAAAGATGTCCAAGTACAATCTGAACGTTGACTGGATCCACCCCCGGCCCCAAGTCCTCTGCCACCAGCAATGAAGCAGTCATCAGAACTATCTTTCTAGGCAGCTCCAGGCCCCTCTCCACCAACAGGGGTATCAGCCAACCTGCTTGGGGAATAGCTGAATGCAAGCACCAAAAATTGTATCGTATCATCTTCACACCGCTCGAGGCAGGAAGTTGGCTCTCCAGAGCATGGCGCCATGCGCTGTCTCCTGAGTGAATACAGAAAAAAAAATGTCCTAATGTTTGGATTAGAAGTAAGAATGGTGACAAGCACCCGTCAGTGTGTGCGCCTCTCCCCAACACACACGCACTCCCACACACCCACACACACCCTGTCCTTGCAGACAAATCATGAATCATCTCCGTGGCTGAACATTTTAGCGTTCATAATATTCTCAGAGGCCCAAGGTTTTCAGGCAAATCCCAGGTCTGTGCACAAGGACACTGCATAAATCCCTCCCCTTATGAAAGGCCAGTCTGAGCAGATGGGACCACTCTTAAGTAAACTGCTGAGCCCTCCCTCGTCCATCTCGGGAGGAGCAGCAGGGGGTCAGTCCTACCAGCCAGGAGAGCAGAGAGCAGCAAAAGCTGCTAATTCTGAGGCTGTGTTCACATCCCCAACTTATCTCTCTGAGGGAGGTGTTCGTTTGACCACACAATCCTCCCTCCCCTCCCCCAAGGGGAAATCAGATCTTGAAGTCAGATTGGAGGCCTCAGCGGACCAAGTGGTGGCCAGAGTTGGGAAAGCAAATATGAGCCCTGGAGAGCCGGCTGGGCCTGGGAGGAGGTGAGAAGCCAGAGGGCCCTTCAAACCCAATTTCTTTCCATGCTAAGTCTGGGGAAATAACGTCACAAGAGTTCCACTCTCTGATAACCTGCCTCATTAATATTCATTTTAAAATATTTTTTTAAAAAGAAGAAGGAAGGGGGAGATAATTATACACTTGGTGGAGTTTGAGTTTTCCTCCATTTTCTCTTCTGTGTCTGGCCCCCCCACCTGCAGCCTAAGCCAAATATATACACTGTGCTGTCTACCACCCCAGCCCCTACTCATCTCCCCAGGTGTGCCAGGAAGACATAAGGCAGGTGGATGGAGAGAGAGACAGACCCGGGCACCCCAGGTGCTCACAAGGAAATGCATAGACTGTGAAATTACACCAAGGCTGGACAACTTACCACCACACTGGAACCCTTGGGGAACTGAAATAATTAACTTGCTAATCAGCTACACCTTGCTTTTTTTCTTTCTTTCTGGAAAAAAAAAACAACACAACGATTGCAAATCGCTTTCACATCAGGTTCCTATGTCAGTCACTTGGAGACAAGCGATGCTCTGAAAGAAATGCACTTCGTGCCTCCGTGGAGACTGACGTGGGTCAGGCCGAGTGAGGCCTCTTCTTCCCCACTCCTTCCCACCAGGCCTGGGGGCCTCACAGAGACAGAATGTTTCTGGAGATGGAGGGTTTTCTATGTCCACGCCACAGAGCTTTTCCATCTCTGCTAAGCTTTCTCGCTTTTGGTCCTCTTTAGCCTGCTTGCTGGCGCTAAACAGCCAAGATCCATGTGGAGAAAAGAGGATTGATTAGAATCGTAATAATAATCCCCTCGGCATTCGTCCGGCTTTAACGTTCCCAAAGTGTTTTCACACATTATCTCATTCGGTCAGAGGAGGCTGGAGCTGGCAGGAATGTTAGCAACCACTTAGCCCCATGGCCTGCATTAGAGATGGGGAAACTGAGGCCCAGAAAGGTTAAATGTCTTCCCCCAAAGACCAGAGCTAAGGACAGTGTGCTCTGGGGGCCAAGTCCCCACACTCATTGTCTAGAGATCCCCTGTGTCACCTCTGATCCTCTGAAAAGAGGGGAAGAGCATGGTCAGCTTTTTCCTCCACAGTGGATATATAAATCCAGAAATAAAACAATTAAAAATAGGGCATTAGGACACATAAAGGCCTTATAGGAAATTATTTCAAGGGTGGTTGGGAGTGCAGGACGCTGGTCTAAGCCCTGAACGCAATGTGTTAATTAACATACTTCCCTCTCCGCCTTCTCTGTCTCTTTGTCCCCTCACCTCCCCCTTCTCTCCAAGTTAAAAAATGTGACCGTTATGCAGTTTGAGACCTAAGGCTTAATTTGGCCACAGGCCCTGGAGGAGATGGCAAGCTTTTCTTAGATTCAAATCGGGTCCCTCGCCCCGGCCCCCCAGGACTCCCAGCACGATGGGCTCCTGTGTGCGTGTGTGTGTCCACTTGAGACATTGCACTGAACGGTGAAAAACAGGCATCTGATCCTTTCACAGATCAGATGATTTGCAAATTAATAGCTCTTCCCCCCCCCACCCCAAGGCTCTGAAGAGATGAAAAAAAAAAAAAAGATTTCTTCCCCATGGAGATGGGGAAGGCGGAAACATATAAAATGGGGAAAGAAGTGAAATGATATTGTATTCTGTAGAAAAAGACTTCCCTGTGCGTGGTACGCGTGCGTGTGGTCACGAATGTCTGCATTTCCACAGGGCCGCCTTGCCCCGGTTGCCCGAGCCTGTTGGAAGGTAAGCGGTTCCTTTGTGTGTTCGTTCATTACTAAGCCCAACTCTTTTCCCTCGAAAACTCCTTCTTCTCCCTGTTGAGCTGACCATGCTTCTGGATTTATGAAGAGAGATGTTTTAGCAGAAATCCCCTAGAGTGTCCCATCAGCCCTAAATCCCAGGCCCACTCACCCCCCCCAAGACCCCATGACACACAGCATGCCAACACGGCTTCCTCTTGCCTATGCATTAGCCATCCATTGTGGCAACCTGACATCTCTCACACATAAAACCGTAAGAGAGAAATAAAATATCTGTCTCTTGGCGAAAATAAAGCTTTGCCTCCCTCCTGATGTATAGGATATAAAATAAAGCCGCGGCTCCAATAGTGGCTTTTCCTTATGCCGGAGTTGCCTTTGCACACACAGAGGCAATGAAGACGGATGGTTTGGGACGAGGCCCAGCCTCCTGGGGCCGCCTTCACCCTTTTTTATTATCGTCAATCCCACCCTCCCGGCCTTTTTCTTTCTTCTTCACTTTCTTTCCTTTCTGGCTTGGATTTGCCTTTTATATGCCCTTCTCTTTCTTTCCCCTGGAACTTTATGCCTCTTGCTCACTTTCTTTCTAAAGCGTGACAGAGACAAGGAGAGAAGAGCCAAGTTCCCTACCTCCTCAGACATGCCTGCTTTCTCTCCCTGCCTCGCCCTTCTCCAGACCCCCAACTCTCTCTGGGCTGCCAGCCCCTAAGACCAGTGTTGCTGTTCCTCCTTGAGGATTCGCTTTGGTCAAATGTACAAACATTCCCAAGAGACGGTTAAGAATGTATTTAGTGGGGTGGCCCTTCCAGCCAAGGCCAACCTTCTCCTGCCTCTTTCCCCAGCCCTGAAAACTGAGAGTGCTGTGTGGTAGCTGGAACTGTCTCCCTGAGTCTCACAGTCACAGAAACACGGTCGTTGTCCTGTCTCCGCCACAGTGCAGGTGCCTGCCTCTTTTCTTCCTTCTCCCCAGAGGCCTCACACTTGCCAGGTGTGCACCGCTCTCCATTCTGCTGCCGAGTCTCCCATTCCTGCCAGGGCGGGTTTTTTCCCAGAAGCCTCTTCCCATCCTTGCCCTAACCTCACCCCTCCCACTGCTCTCCCAAGCCACCCAAGGCTGCTCCCCAACCAGTTCAAAACTTCACCTGCTCCACTCAGGGCTGCGGGACACATGCCGGGTCCTGGGGAAACTAAGTAGCGACCCAGAGAAGAGGAGCAGGGTCAGAGCTCCTGGGGGAACAACAGTGGAGGGGAGATTTACTGTGGCCTATAGAGGTGGGGAGTGCCCAGCAGAGGGGCAGTGGGTGGCTTCCAGCCTCTGAGATTGATGAAGGACCTGTGTGTGTGTGTGTGTGTGTGTGTGTGTGTGTGTGTAGGGGGGCCTCCCAGTCACCCCTAATCTCAAATCTTCATTAATGCAAATGTGGCAGGGCTGGTGAGGCAGCAACATCTATGGAACTCTGCCCCCCAAAAGAAGGAAGGGAGTTTTAGAGCGGCCAAGTCCAGAAAGAACTCAATCCCAAGTCCCAAAGCTACTTAGCTTTGGGGATCTCTCCCCCTCTGTCTTTCTTTCCACGCGATATCTCTCCAGATATCGGCAATGACCACCGCCATTAGGTAAGGGGAGAGAGAGTCAATTAGTGGGAGGATTAATTACTCGGAGGCACGAGCCCCGTTTGTCTTCCTCACGGGGCGTGAGTGTGTGCGCAGACGAGGAACACGGGCACGCACCCAAATACGCATTGTTGTCACGCCGTCTTAGACGTTTTATTTATTTGTTGGATTCCTGCCCAGGGCCGCTCGCACGCTTTTCCACGGGCGCTGAGTCTCCCACCAAACACGCCGCCTGCTTTTCTCCCGCCTGGGAACGCGCCCGTCACACGCCCGCTCGCCAGCCTGCAGGGTCCTCCGCGCCGCGCCTTTCCTCGCCGCCTTTTTATTTTCTGAATCGCTGGGTGTCTTTCCGGGCCTTGCCCCCGTTTCTTTTCTTCTACTCCTCCATGCATTTTCCCCAGCGCGTCTTTGCTCCTTTTATCGCGGCTTACTTTTCCACATTCCTGTCTCTTTTCTCCGGTTTTCTGCCTGACACCCTCGTCCCGTCCCTCGCCTCTCACTTCCCTCCCTCTCTCCCGCCTTCTCCAGTCGCCCCTCTCCCTTCCCCTTCTCGGTCCGCGTCCCGTCTTTGCTCGGCAGCACACTGACTTGCATCCGAGATCGCCACGCTCGACCTGCTCCCCTCTCCACGCCGGGATCCCTCCAGCCCTCGTGGGAAGCCGGGGTTGTTTACCCAGCCCGAGCGCGCACCGGGAAGCCTCGGCTGGATACGGCCCTTTCCCGGCCGCTGGGTGCCACCCCCTCAGAAAACGTGGCCGAAGCAAAGTGATAAGCGCCCCCCCACCCCCCACACACAACTTCTCTCCTTCAGCAAACCGCCTGACTTGAGTTTCTTCCCCGGGCGAAAGGCAGTAATACCCATCTCTGACTGTGTGGTCCAGGGCACATAGTGCTGTAAACTGTAAAGCGCTGCGCACACGTGGGCCATTTCCGAGAGAGGGATGGGATGAGGTTAACCTGCCACAGGGGAGAACGGGACGGAGAGAGCGGGACAGGTGGGATCGGCTCGCAGGGGTCAGGCCAGGGTCCTGCACCGCGTCTTCAGCGGAGCGCGCGTGGCCTCTGGGATCTGCGGGGCCCGGGGCTCGTTCTGCTTTCTTCCTCCTCCCTCTTCCTGCCACCGCGCGGCTGGGTGCGCCCCATTCGCGGGGCTGGAGTCCACGCCGCCCCAGGCGCCTCCAGTCTCGGACGGAGCGCCGCTGCTGGGTAGGACCGAAGGGGGCGAGGTCGGGGATGCGGCCACCAGCGGTCGCCGCTCTCGGGAGATCAACAGCAGCGACCTGCCGGGCCCAGGGCCCGCTGGGATTGGGGGAGAGGGAAGCGAATGGAGCTCGGGACCAAGGAGGCAGAGGTAGGAAAGGGGGTGCTGGAGAGGGCTCCTTCAGCCCCCCAAACTGCAGGGCGGCTGAGGAGGGCTGGCAGAAGCCCTCCGTCCCCAGTTCGCGGGCAAGTTCCCGCCTCTGGGCCGATCCTCTAGGCCCTTCGCAGAACAGAAGCCTATAATGTGAAAGCCGTTTTCTGGGTCTTCTGCGGCCTTCTCCAAGAGTGTCTGGGGGCGAGGTGGGGCGCATTCTGCAGACACCGAGGACCCTCACGCAACCCCGTCCAGAGTGCGCGGGGCCCGGGGCGGCTCGCGCGCAGGGCCTGGGGCCGGACGGCGCGCGTGCACTGCAGGCCGCAGGCCGCGGTTGGCGGCGAGGGCGGCGAGGGAAGGTCGGCGCTCCTAGCCGAGCCGACCTTCGACACTCGTTTAAACGCAGAGCTGAGCTGAGGGGCTCGGAGACGGCGAATTTGTAAAGCTCGGTCAGTATTCTCTCCTCTGTGACCGATTACATTTTAAAATAAAAACTCAGTGGAAACAAACAAAACATTAATCTCGTGTGCTGTCCCCAGGGAGGCGTTATATCTGGACTTTAAACCTAGAACCAGGGGCCAGGAGGTGCGCCTGGAGTTTGTTCTGTGACCTCCCGGTAGACGCGGGGGTCGGTTCCCGCGGACCCGCTCGCTGAGCCATCTGGACACCGCGACAGGCCCGGTGTCCCAGAGCCCGGGTCCTGTCTTCACCCTCGATTCCTCTACCGCGCTTGGCCCTCCGCTGGGCCGGGTTCTCTTTCCCCCAACGTCTCAAGGTCTCTGCACCCCCAGACGGGTGCAGTAACGTCCTCCTGCCCACCCAAAATGAGGTGGCAGGCGTTGGGTTCAGTAGGGGCTGGCAGCCGGGTCCAGCTGTCATCCCGTGGGTCCCCCTAACGACAATCCCCCACCCCCACCCCCGAGGTCCTTCTGCTTTGCATATGAAGAAGCCCAGCCGGGGCGGGGCCGGGGCGGGCCGCTGGGGACTCGGTCCGCTGTGGATGCCTGAGAGGAGCGGGCGCTGGTGGCGAGAACCCAGACAGCTGGGGAAGGGAGGAGCATGGGGACCGCTGCACTGGACCAGCCCCTCCCCGAGACCTCGCCCAGCACAGCGGGCTGAGGAGGCGCCTGGGGTCCCGCGGGAGGAGGGGTGCGCCTCGCAGCTCTAGTGTCTCCCCGGACCCTGGACTACCGGGTACCGGTAGGCTTGTGGCTGCAAGTGTCCGGTCCACCAGAGGAGTTCAAAGCCAAGTCTAAGCCTGCGAAGCCGGCTTGCGGAGCTGGAGAACCGCCCTCCCATCCCCAGCCCTGGTCTGAGACCCAGCCTGGGAGAGACCTCGGAGGGGGCCGGTGCGAGAGATTACCAGGCCCCAAACCTCCCTCCCCGCTGCGGGGAGCCCAGGCGTGAGAGAGAGAGAGAGAGAGAGAGAGAGAGAGAGTGTGTGAGTGTGAAGGGGGTGCGGTGAAGGCTTTAGGGGCTTCGCCCCCAGAGGTCAGGATGGGCGGAGCACCGAAGAGGCGCGCGGCCGAACTGGGCTTCGACTTCCAATGAAAAGGCGGCGCGGGCCGCAAGGCAGGGGCTGTCGGCAGGACCTAGGGTTGCTGGGCCGTGCGAGCGTAGACTGGGAGGCAGAAAACGGGCCTTGGCAGGACCCTAAAACCCCAGTTCTACTGAGGCTCCAACCAAGGTCGCCAGCAGTTTGCCGCTTCGTCCGAAGAGGGTATTTCATTTGCAGAGAGCTGGATTCCCTGCCCAGCCGGGCTCAGTGCTGTTGGGCTCCAGAGCGCATTTCCCCCAAGTCAGCTCGGGATCCCGTGTGGGATGTCTGAGCCCTGCAACGCGAGTGGGGTCAAAAGGCCAGGCCCCAATACCGGCTGCACCTGGCTAGGTGCCTATCCTTATTTCCTTCCTCGCTAGGGCCAAACGCTCTTTCCTAGTACCCCCTGTCCAACCCCCAAAACAAAACAGAAAACGGGGAGCATAATAGCAGGACTCCATAGCCCTGCTTCCTTCAAACTTTACTTCGGAAAAAATCCCAGTTAAGCATAGAAATGGTGCTGTCGAAACGGAATTTGGTGATTGACTGTGCTGTGGCAGGGAACCAGACGGACTGTTCGAGGCTAAGGCTTCCGGGACTCCGAGGCGACCGCCGCGGCCGCGATGACCCGCCCCCGTGGGCAGCGGTCTGGCGTTTACACTCCGAACACCTTTAGGGAGGTATGAGAGCGAACCCCAGAGGGTGCGCAGGGTCGGCGGTGAGTCGCGAAGTTGGTGCCAGCCCGAAGCCCGGAAAAGGGGAGGCCGGGAGGCCGTACTCACTCTGCCCTCGCGCTCACACCCCGATCCCTTTAGCTCTACGCGGTGCCCCAGGGACGTCCACCTTCCCACCTATACCCCCCCCCACACACACACACGACGCTGTAGCCCCGCTGCTTCCCGCACGGTCGCTTGTTTCTGTCTGTAAAAGGTTTCTTCGGGTCACAGTTTTGTCACAACTTCTCACCCGGGTTTTTGGCAACTCCTCGCCCGGGGCGTTTCCCCACCCACTCCTCTCCCCTCTCCAGTGCGGAGCCTCTGGCCTTCCCCGCCCCCACCAGAAAACCGCCCGAATCAACTTTACAACGCTGCGCAGGGGCAAACAGACAAGCAGATCTCCCGGGGCCCGGCGGACTTTGGCTGGATTGGGGGAGGGGGAACAGAAGGAAGGACCCTCGGGGGGAGATTCTGCTGCCAAGGGCCCTCCCTCCACTACTCCCCCAAAGACGCGAGCTGTGCCCCGGCCAAACTCGCAGGCCAAGAATGCAAGAGGAAGCGGGGGAGGGGGGTGAGCCAACACCCAATGAATTGTAAAGCCAAACAGTGCATTGGGGCCGCTGGGGCTCCCAGACCCAGGTGCACCCCAGCCTTCAACAAGGTTTGATCTTGGATTACTCCCACCCGTCAGCAGAACTCTGGCCTCCCCTTTGCTCACTCCCGCGTTCCCACCGAAACCGAGACCTTACCGGAGCAGGAGGGGGCCTGGGCATCTCGCAGCCCGCCGCCCAGACAGCGTGGGGCAGCGGATGCAGCCGCCACTGATTCTCTAAACGCGGTCTCCCCGCACTCTCCTCGGCCTGGGGATGCAGAATGGTTTACAGAGGGACCGCGAGCCGCTGATTGGTCGCAGGCCGCCGTGACGTCGGCGGGCGCTGCATTAAGGCGAGGGGGCTTCTTCAGCTCAGCCAACAGCCAGAAGCAGTGACCGAGCCGCCGGAGCTGGGGAGAGACGCGCGGAGGCGGCGGACTGGGCCGGGAAACCAGGGACAGAGGGACGCTTGTCCAAGGAGAGCCAGCAACGAACCGCGGCCCGAGCGGCGGCGGCGGCAGCGGCAGCTGGTGCCGAGCTGTTTCCGCCGCGCAGAACTGTAGCCGCTGCACCAGGACGTTTTAAAAAGCTCTCCAAGCTACTCCCCCTCCTCTCGCCTCCTCTCGCCTCCTCCCGCTGCAAAAGGAAAAAAAAGAGAAAAAGGAAGGAAGGAAAGAGGCTAGAAAGGAAACCCCGATTTGCCACCAGAACGAAAAAAGAGGGGGAAAGAAAAAGAAAAGAAAGTCCAGCGACTGTGGGGTTGGACGCAGGCAGCCGGACCGTGGGCCAGCGATGCGGGGCTGCGCGCCCAGGCGGCCGCGAGTTGTGACTGGAGCCACGATGCACGGCCAGGCGCGGTGAGGAGCCAGCCCGTTTCTCCTCCCCGAAGGAGTCCAGGAGCAGGGAGGGCGGTTCGGAGAACACGGAGGCCGCCAGGCGGGCCCGGGCCGAGGCGACGGGGCTGGGGCGGTGGGGAGCGATCGCGTGCGCCTGGCTGCGCCCTCCCGGAGTTGTCCCTCTCCGCCTCGACTGACACAAACACTTCTCCAAAAGCGGAGAAACCTAGGCAACAGCAGCAGTCAACAACGAGATCTTCCTCCTGCCCTCCCCTCCCTTCCTCCCCCCTCGGCGTGCCCCCCGCCCCCTCTCCCGGCCCACCGTGGGCGCCCCGCGCTTCCCGACCCGCTGTGCGATGCCGGCAGTTTAGGATCCAAAGCTTCTCTACTCATTTTGTTCTCTCCTTTTATAAAAAGAGGAGAGGAAATCCCGGCGGCGGGCAGCCGGGCACACACACACCCACCCTCATACTCCGACAAAAGCAGATGCACTTTGACTTCTGACAGCTCTACCTCAAGCCCGAGAGAACTCAGCGGCGCTTCCCTTGCAAGCAGAGCCCGCCGCGTCGTCCTCTTCGTTCGCCGTCTCCGTTTTATTTATTTATTTCAGTTACCGTCACCATTCCCGGTGACCTTCACTCCTCCGCGAGTTCTGGGCAGAAG